TATTGATCATGCCAATGATGGTACTGCAACCATGGTGTGTGATGCCCATTTCAAAAACACCATACAGTACAGTCGGTAAAACACATTGACGAAGAGCTTGATCTTAGTATGAATCGGATGGTTTCTATCCAGGAGCCACCTGCGTAAAATGCGAAAGCACGTCTGAGCTGCCGTGAGCCTTCGTCTGGTCGTGTCGGTCTCCCATGCCCGGTACGAAATGATGACACCAAGATAGGACGTTTTTGCGACCAGTGGCACGGTGACTGCCATGTCCGGCAATCGCAGCATGGGGCCATTGGCCGATCTGCTAATCCAACGTTTCTGGAACGATGGAAGTGCCTCCCAACAAGTCGAAGCATGGCAAAGCTCTTGTGAGGATTGATCTTCAGGCCGTACGCACCAAACACCCTCATCAGGAAGGACAGGTCATGCATGGCACGGAGTCCATCAACCTGTGAATGGACAGTCCACCGCATGTGAAAGTCGTCGGCGTACACTACGAGGTGGTCTATGATCCATGCATGGTCGTATTGGGCAAGAAGATCGTGGAGGATTAAATACATGGTGAGGTTCCAAAAGAGAGGAGCATCTTTTGATCCTTGTTTAATGCCTCCAGTTGCTTGGATCTTGCCAACTAATTCCTTATGAGGAATGAAGTACGTGTGGGGGGCTAACCAAGAGTGCACTAATGATTGAAGGTCACTCGACACGTCAAAGGCATGCCCTAGAAACAAGCTGGCGATTGATTGTGTCAAAGGCCTTTTCCATGTCCAAAGAAATTTGGAGGCCTCCCCAAAGACCGGTTTTGTCATCGCTTTTACGATGAACGGTGCAAAGCTCTCTCACCTGTCTGCAGTGGTGGGACACCGTCAGAAGACAGTCTCGTGTTCCTCGGTGAGGCATGTAGGCGTACAAGGGCATCTGACGAAGAGAGTCATGTGCAAGGTCAAGCAACAATCGACAGTGGATGCCTGACATAACCTTGTTCATCGGGTGTTGAAGACAAATCGGTCTAAGTGCTTCAGGTTTATTAGGTGTTTTATTGGGCTTGGCAAGAAGATGAATCCAGCCGGCTGACCAATGGGAAGGCGGTTGACTTTGTGTGCAGCACCATGCATGACGAATACATGGGAACACAACCGGTGTGAGTATCGTGGCAAAGTGTCTCCAAATCAAAGCGGGAAAGCCATCAGGGGCCAGAGCTTTGGTCACAAGAAGGTGTTGTAGTTCATAAAGAACATCAGCCTCAGTGAATGGCAGTCGAGACAGTGCAGGCGGTGGTTGTATGGGTGCATGAGTGTCCGTGAACAGATCTTGAAAGTAGTGGGTCAATCGTTCAAGTTCTTGGGCTTGGGACATTGGTGCACCATGCGTATCAAACATCTGAATCCGCCTGAACGTCTGCTTGGGGCACAGAGTCCGAACTCGTTTGTACCAGTCATGCAATCTATTCTGAAGGACCAGTGGGACACTTTCAGCAAGAAATGTATCCAACCTAGTCTTACGATTCAGTCGACTCTGTCGACGAATGGCTTGGTGGATCCGCTCGAATCGACAGACACCAGACCAACCCCTGAAAATGGCCTGCAGCGAGACAGAACGGAGGCGGAGCAATTGTCGTCTGGCATACCACATTTGAGCTGCCAATGATTTGACCTGGGAGCACATGAGGCGTGGCTGACGGACACGTGGGAAATGAGTTTGGCATAATTGTCGAACGGCTTGCTCAACTTGGATACAAGTGGAGATCGGACCACTAGTATTCTGTGTAGTGGTGAGATGGTTCACTGTGGACATGACTGCAGATTCGAAGTGGGACCAATTCTCAGTCTGTGACTGATATTCAAGCCTCAATCGATGGTGATCGATCGAATTCATGGGAGGGGTGATCCTTGGAGGTGCAAACCATTTGGGTAAGGACATGACCAGTGGGTGGTGTACAGGTGCACTGCAGCCAACCGTCCGTTCGAACCGAGTCAGCACCTGGGCACGATGTTTATTCCACCGAATTTGATGGCGGCGCAAAAACATGAAATCGATTCGGCTGGAATGATCGCCATGTTAGAAAGTTGGTGTCCAGTGATTTTGACTGTGAACAGCTACTAGATCCAAGTCACGAATCATGGTTTGAAAGTCATGTTTATCACACTGGGTGGCCTGACCGTATTTAGGATCAGTGGAATGCACGTGTGGTGCATCAGCGGTCAGTGGGGTGTTGCAGTCACCTGCAAGGAGCAACATGTGGCTTTTCGGGACATGTCGAACACATTGTTTAATGGCTTCAAAAACCTTCATCCGATCTTGGAGGAGGGTTTGACGATCTTTCAAGGAGCTCCAGGAATGCTGGTAAACACAGAGAACATCATGAATCCGTGTAAGATGAAGCCGGACATGTATGAGCCGGCCTGGACAAAGTTCAGCCCATGCCAATTGGTCTGGGCGCAACAAACGTCGGCGGACCATGCATAGGACAGTGGCACGATGGCCATGTGAGTGCAGCATGTACCAATCACCAGACACCCATTGATTGGTGAATCGCCATCCCGTTTCTTGCAGGATAGCAACATCGTATGATGTCTGAGTCAGCCAGGGCACCCACTCGTCCAGGAGGAGGCCGTTGGAGGCGTTCCAACAAAACACATTCAGAGATTCAGCTGATCTGGTCTGTTGATGTGGAGGCAGAATCTTCTTGGCAGGAGTTCGAATCTCCTGAGACAGCTGTTGACGGATCCTGAACGGGATGTTGGAGTACCAAAAATCTTTTCCACGATATTGTGTGCAGCCTAGGTTGTAGGCCCTTCTGCAGGCTCGGTAAAAATTCCTCTTGATTCTCTTGCATCTGGATGGATCCTCAATTAGGCCGTAGCCTGCTGTCGCCCATACCTCGTGGATTTCGGTGCCGGGCCGGGAATGATCCGGCATGGCATTGGCACTCCTGCCACTGAGCGAGGTCTCAGTGGCAACCCTTGCGCCAGGCATGGAATCTCCAGCATCATTGTCAGATCTATACGATACCATACCCCCTGGATTTGGGACCAGGTGTCTCAGCGGGCCAAATATCAAAGGATATAGTAGCCACCAACACTTCATCAAAGGATTCCAAGGCAGTCAGAGCACCGGAAGAGGTGAGAAACATGCACGAGGAGAGGTACGGAAATGGCTACCGGGCTTGAAGCTGAGATGGCGCTTACAACAAACAACAACAACAACAAC